CCTTACATTGACTTGATCTAATAAAAGAGATTGCTATATTTTGTTTCGCTGTTTGCTATCAGAGTGTACATATAAATAAATTAATCGTCGTGTATGCCATAAAAGAGACAAAATATATGTAATTTTATATATTATATATTAATATATTAAACATATATTGTATACTGAAAACGTACACAGATACATTCATCATCTATCATTGAATAATATCCGACAATTGCACTACTGAGTCACTTGTTCTAGATTTTAATATATGGTGACACACAAGAATTGTTTCAATATCAATGTCAAGTTCATCTATATGTAACATAAAACTAATTAAAATATATTCAAGAAATAATAATATATTATGAATTAATTTTAATCTTTGAGACAATAAATAATGTTCCTAACATGCTATGCGATATCCCATAATAAATTGCGTAATAAAAAATACAAATTTTGGATATTTACGCGTTCGCCATTCTGTCATTTAATTTTGATATTTCAATCAGGATCCACTACAGTCGGGAACCTGTAAGTGATTCATGTTGACGGAATACTCAACATATTAATTACACATATGTATTGTTGAGGACTCCAAAGTGAGTCGAAACGTTCAATAAAGAGGATTCTACACATTAATGATTAATTAAGATTAAAATTAATCGTTGGCACTTTCATCAGCCCGTGACTCGTATGGCCTTTACGGATTGTGTTATTTTTATTTTTATTTTAAGAATTCGAGTCTGCAGAAATTGTATACATATGTACTATATATATAAAAATTATTTTGTGATATTGACAGTACAAGTGAACTTAACTATCAACATATATAAAAAGCATAGTTTGTATGATATTCGTGCTTTTACGTTAAAAATCATATTGCTGATATCTTGCCACATGAAAAGTTATCATGGTTTAAATGAAAGAAACGGTACAAATGTGGCTTTTATCAAAGATATTTATATTTAACACTAGATCGCTGACTTCGCTTTAATACATGACTCTGAAAAGTATGTATTAAACTCATGGTGCATGCCCGTGACGTAGGAACATTACTAGTCAACGCATGCGAATGTAAGTCCATGTTACATCGACACCGTATTGACGACTGCAACTTACCTATGAAATATTATCTCCGGATTTTTTCCGCTTAACGTTTGTTTTAAATATACTGATGTGGCGAGATCTTTGAATTAGTTAGGCCGGAAAAATGAATGATGGATCGTGATCGATTCGAAGTATGATCGATCGCGGGGTTTCGTCCTAGTCCCACTACTGGACTCATCAGTAAGGCGATGTAGTGGGACCTGCCTTAGACGCCCAAGAAAGTATTAGATCGGGATCTTATTTAAACGGAATTCGTGTAACTGGGGTGCTTACGAGAATCCACGCGAGACCCGTGAGACCTCTAGGGGCGAGCCGCCACACTGAAATAATCACTTTTCAATTTGTATTTTTAACCTGGATATTATAGAAATAAAATTTATTTTATAGGATGTTTAAGCTATTGCAATCAATAAAAAATATCGGTTATTGTTTCGATGATCATGTATTAAAGGGCTTCTAAAGTGCTGAATAGATAATTTCAGCGAAATTGGTTGAGAATTGATCGAGAAATTTCTGATCTATTTCGGAAGCTGATTTCAGCCTAAAGCCGGAATCAGACTATGCATTGAAGATTGAGATTGAAGAGTGAAAAATTCAAATTTGACCAATCGAAATGAAAGGAGTTAAAATTTCTTTGTCCTTATTGGTCAAATTTCAATCTTCAATCTTCAACCTCAATCTTCAATGCTTAGTCTGATTCCTAAAAATCAGCAACAGTTATCAAATAACTTCCAGTTGCATAAAATCTTATAGCGACCAGTAATTGTATGACAGGTGAAATAGGATTATTACTAAAAACATTATTATTATAAAATATTGCTAATACAAAAATGTATTTATATCTATACTCTCAATGTATATAATTCATACGTACCGATCAGATTTATGACGTATTTCACCTTCAATTCTTTCTAATAGCACCATAAAATTATTTTTAGATATTCTAAACCTTTTTTGGAAATCTATTTCATCAAATATTTCCATATAATTAATTTTGGTCTGATTACACGTGGCTTTCTTTCATTTCTTTCAACATTATTCAAGTTTATATCATTATATTCATCAAAAAGTAAAAAATTAATAACTTCATCCATTTTTACATGAAGCACTATTTTTACATCAATACGTAATATAATTTTCTCACGTTGAATATGTATCTTAAAAATGTTATTTAAATCGACTTTTTAATAATTTCCATTTACACTGGATACTTTGCCTAAAATAACACGACAGGAATATCAGGTTAAGGTGCCTGTTACAACCGATACGACTGATTCGTTTTATTACATTGGCACTACCGTAATCGTCGATTAGATTAACCGGAGGTTGGTGAAAGAGGTCCTAAGTCACTTCAACGTTAAGTAATAAATAAAATTGTTATTTCTGACCGTCTTAATTACGGATTAAAATCTTACATATTTCGTATTTAAATTTTGTTCGCGCGCGCGCGTGCGATGTATGTATGTGCGATTATTTTGAGTTAAATACGATAATTTTACGGCCTTGGTACGATCGGCTACTGCTTCTAGGTTACTAAAGGCCATCACACGTATAAAAATTTTAGTCGTAATCGTAAGATCGCAAGCAAATCGACCAATCACAATCAAAATTAAGATCTCGCGTTTTAAAACGCTCGACTGTGATTGACCGATTTGCTTACGGCCTTACAATTACGAAAATTTTTGTACGTGTGATGGCCTTTAATGCGGGGTCTACAATAGAAGTCGTAGCAGTCGTAGGGTCTTAAGTCGTAGAAAATT